AAATGACACTGACTCTGGCTCCGCTTCGATTTCAGCTTGCTGGCGGTCTTTCCCATTTTCCTGGCGCATGCATGCCAGGCGGCGCGGGTCACGTTGCACCGATTCCAGGTAGCGGCACGTCGACGAGGCTGCACCGGCGGTAAAGACGAGCGGGATGGAGCGACGGGCAACGGCGCGACCGTAGCATAATGCGATACCGAGCTGACTGGCCGCAAAAACGAACGCGGAGACGAGCGAAGGGACACGGACGAGACCGATGGACAGGCGAGTGCCAGTCCCCGGCCAACCGAACCCGCCAGGAGTGAGAGTCACTGAGGAGAGAGGGAGAATAGAGGACTTATTCGACGGAGAGGGAAACTGCCGTGATGGGAGGGGGCTGTTAGCAGAGAGAGAGAGAGAGGGAGGAAGAGGGAGGGTATTAATGAACGAAAATGAAAGCCGGATTAAGGTCGGAATAATTGATTGAAATGAGGATAGTTGGGATGGTGTTGGAAAATTGATGGGGATGAAGGGTTGATCCTTCGGAGGATAGGATTGGCAGTGCTCTTAAATCGTTGGACGGTAGGGTGGATTCCAAGGGAAATTTTGAACTGAATTTGAGAATGAATATTGTATAGTTTGTGTCGGTTTGAAGGGAATGATTTGAGAACTGTTTGAACTTTATGGTTGGGCTGTGGGATTCGTTGGTTATTTTTATTTAATTTGTTGGGATTAGAGAATCTTGAAGGAATACTTGTGCAAATGGTAAGAATGGTTAATTATACTGTGATTTTCATGTGTATTTCAGTGTATGGTTTTTAATTGGGAGTTTTATTTTCTTGAGAAGTATTTTCTCTTTTGTATAATTTTGTAGATTTTGACTTTGGTTCGCCGAAGCAATTCTGGGATATCGATTCACTTCAAATCGAGTTATATGTGGATCGAATGAAGGGGTTCAAAGGGGAGGGAAGAAATTATGCAGTAGCTCGGAGTAGGGATAATTAACAAGGGCGAACGGGGAAACGGGCGATTTAATAAGCGCGGATAAGCGAAATTTCACTTCGTCACGGAATAGCTGATAAGCAGGGGGAGATAAAGGGTTACAGCGGGAAAGGGTGGCGGAGATAAATTCAATTAGATCCGCTGATAACGAGAGTTAAGAGGGTGAATCTGATCAAAGGGGTGCTCGGCGATAAGTGATCCTAAAAATAGTCCTGATCCGGCTACTGCGATATCTCGTTCGATTAAACGGACAAACAGAAAGAGAGCTTTTATTAGCAGCGAAAATTTCCTATCGACCGTCTACTAAATTCCACCCCCTATCTATGGAGGAGAGAGTTTCCAGAAACCCTGAAAATTATTAAAATACACAGGACCGATATATTTGTCCGTGTATTCTATTTGTCACCGTTAATTCGAATTATCGTTATAATTTACAGGGAACACTGAAGAACGAGGTTCGTTTGCCGAATTCATTCACGAACAGAACGTTCTTTTTCTTCGGAACGCGGAGGGCTAATTTATTTAACCGGTTGAATGTTGAGGATTATAGCGCTCTTCTTGCGTTATGTCAAAATTACTCTTACCATGTTTTTCAAGAAATAGATAAAAGTAAATTTACTCGAATAAATGTTACTTATCGATATTTTTGTTTGTAATAATACAACATTCGGGATATAATTAGCTGACTGTTCTATCTAATTAGATATACACCAAAAATTCGGAAGTGATACAGCACTTGATTTGATACAGCAAAACTATAAAATTGAATATTTGTATTGCTATAGGGAAAATTTAAATAAAATTACTTTGTCGCTTAATTTATCTGTGAATTATCGTTAAATTAGTGTCAAACAGTGTCGTCTGTATCTCGTCGAAAAATGTTAAATATTTCCAGTGAAAAACTTTCGAGTGCAAAGGGTTAATAAAATTGGATGACTACTCTTATTAATTTTTAGTTACACACCCAATCACTTCCGCATTTTTTGTGTATATCCATGAAATTTGTCCAGCACTGAAACAGTTAAGAAACCGTGAAGGGAAGTAGCGTTTCCTACAAGCTTGTACGACTTTCGCACACGTGTAGAGCACGCTAAGTGTCGAGGGATGGGGAACGAGGGGAATTTAAAGTGTGCCCGAGTGGTGGGGGAAAGATAGGGCCACGATTATCCATGTGGCGCGCCACTGGTGCTGGTCCGGAGAGAGACAGACGCGAAAGCTATCGGAGGAGAGCGAGAAGAAGGAGATAATGAAGCGGCGGAGACAAGTGTTTAATAAGCTGTATCGATAAAGTTGTACGCTGAGATTGGAATTCATCACTGTTCACGCTCTTCACGAATGTTAACCCTTAGCACTCCAGACGGTTTTGTAATTTATCAGCAACTGCGACTAATTTTTATGGTATCTCCAGTAAAAATGAAAAATGCTATAACATACCTTCGATCTTTTATTTTCCTTTTCAGTAGAAAATTTGGATGTGGAAAATCTAATAATTTCAGGGTAGTTTCTTTGATTCGTTAAAATATTTGATATTATAACTGGTGTAATATTGGTGCAATATTGGTGCAATATTTGAGAAGATTTTCAATGTACAGATACTATAGAGGATTCTTTATTTCAGTTTCGAGTAAACAACCGAAAAAACAGTTGCTGCTGCAGCTTCTGGTTTAGCAAGTTTTTATACGAAGAACGAATTTCCATTGAGATCTACATTTTGCGTTATCTGGAAGTCATAACAGCTTGAATGGCTTCTGAAGAATATTTTCATCTTCCTCGAGAATACAAGGACATTGTATATTTAATATGTGACGTTAGTTTTCAATATGATCATCGTTATTCTTATTTTACATGCCATAACAACTATTTTCCAGGAATTCATTTTGAAACAACTAAACATCTACCAGAATTTTCTAATAATTCTCTTCATTTTCCAAATCGAAAGTTGATACGAAGCGTCTTCAATCGATTGACATTCGAAGACAATTACTCAGAAAAGTCTCACACTAAACCCACCAAATACGTCAAAATTAAAAGGACAACAGATATTTCTCTAAGAAATTATTCAAGAAATTGATTTAGCGATACGCAAACTGAAATACAAACCGATTAAAGTTCCAATAGTTGCACTCTTGGAGTTTCTATACAGAAATTTCAAAAAGTCAATGCAACTGCTCGGTAGTCGTAGTGTCAAAGCTTCGATTCAAGTGCCCGATGATCGCGTGTAATTAAAAATGAATTTGAAACGACACGATAAGAAGAGCACCGACAAAAAGCTAATCGAAACGAGGCTGGATGAGAAGCACACGCGCGACAAGTGTTTTACACGCGCGTCCGCTCGTCTGAAAGATGTCGTGTCGTCATCGAGATCCCGGACTCGTTTCAGCTACATAAGCGACTCGGTTCGTCCGACGCGTTATTCGCTTCTTTACGATCCGAGAAAAAACCGGAATGCATCGCGTCTACGCGAGGATGTTGCAGCGTTGCACCAAGGACAGTTGTGATAATCGCGTCGCGCTTAGACCTCGTCGAATCGGTTGTACTCACGTGATTTCGACTACCGGTTTTCTCGGAAAATCGACTATACACATAATAACAACTATACTTCTTCGCAGTTTCTGATGAAAATCTTGATTTACGGGATTTACTAGATTTACTAGATTTACGGGCATTTATTGTACACTTCATTCTATTGTTCCTAAAAGAATTGATACTCGTTTATTTAGATTGTGGCATCTGGAGATTTGATAGTAGGTAATTGGGGTACATGTTAGTGTGATAAACATTTACAAAATAATATTTCTAAAATCCAATATGCGTCAATTTCACGCGTTCCGTAAACCTAGTGTTAAATGATGTCTTTCGACATCTTCGGTGCAAAATTTTAAAGAATTTACTTTCTTCGTTTTATCTAGGTCAGAAAGCCCTTTTTTACAGCTTCTGAATATGTATAATACATATTATGATTCATATCACGCAGATCGCTGTAAGAATAAATTGATTGTTCATTAAGAATCACCAGAAAGTGTTCCTCTCCGTCGTTCTCGTTTGATTCCGAGTGATATTTCGAGTTGACTAGGTCGAGGCTCGCATCGGCGAGTCGGTTTTACCGTGGACTGTAAATAAAACGTGCCAGGAATTGTTGCAGCCGGCTTACGTCAGGTACAACGGTACAAATTGTTGGAAAGGAGCAAGGTTGCGGCTATAATTGTACAATCGTTCGACGCTCACGCTGCTAGCGCACGTTTCTTCCAGTTGTAAAATCGGAACGCGAGACTTCGTGGTTTTATTTTTAACCTTGCGCCGCCGAGCCTTCACTTACAATTTCCTTCGTCGATGCGGAGAAAAGTAAAATTCCATCTAGACGTTGAAAATTATTAACAAAAGATCAGAATTTTCGTTATCGTCGTGCTAGAATAAGGGAAACGCCTAAATATAGGCAACCGGATGCTTCTGCTCTGTCCCGTTGCATCTGAGAAGGTGCAAGGGAGTGCTGTAATGAATTTCTTCATGCGATGCAATTATGTAACAGCTTACACCCTTGAAAAGTTGATGATTTATCAGTCGAATAATCATATAAATTATAATAGAATACTAAGATACATACGGATTAAAGGTCAAAACCAATAACTTGGTACTAAAGAAGATTAACGTACAGTTAGTTAATTAATCAACCACTGAATCAATTAATATCCAATAAATGTAAACAGAAGTACAAAGCAATACAAAAACTCCAAAAAACCCATAAATCTGAGAAGAATTCCTTGGTTGACTTGGTGGTACACTTAACACGTTCAACCCAGCGTGGACCGGTGGTCCACAGAATTCACCACAGTATTTTTAAGAACTCACACAACTACTCAGATTCCGATGATTGTTACTATAACGTGAAAAGTACTGAAGCAAATAAATTTTTTAGAGAGAAAAAATGCGCCGGGTTGAACGCGTTAAAGCACATCGTGCCAGCACGATGGTATTTCCCTGGCAAAGAAAAGAGGAGCGTCTGCAGTCCTTTAGGCCTGATTTTATTGGTGCGGACTTACCAGAATACATCGAGTTTTACAGTCAACATTTTCTATGGGACGGCCGTTCGCCGAACGGCCGTCCGATCTCTATACGAGCGTTACACACGCAGAATAAATGTATTGACACACGCGTACAATTTTTAGCGAACGTGCTCGCCGAATAATAAGACCGTACACGTCGCCGTCCATCGATTAACAGAGAAAGCCGAAAAACGTCACCTGTCTGCCATTTTCTGGTCTCCTTTCCCTCTTCATTTCCCGAAAGAAAACCGAACGCGACGATCGAACATCACCGGAATAGAAAAATCTTAATAAATTATCTAGACAGTGTACGTCTAGGCTCTGAGGTTGCAGCTTACGCGCTAATTGTATATTTTCATGTATATATATATATTCATATATATATATATATATAATATAATATAATATAATATTTATAGATTTTTTATTAAGTTCTCCGCTCACATGATCGTGTCTTCTCGCGAAGGAATTGACATTTTACAACAGCGAAAGACAATACGTTTCTCAATATTCCCTCGAATCATGCCATCCTCAGGAGACTCTTCTACCGTTGATCTCTACCTCGGCTCATTAATCTTAATTCGTTAAAGTCTATGGTCGCTCGAGAAGTTTCTTTAAAATACAGCCGGATCCTTGATTAATTCCGCCGTCAGATTGAACGCGATCGTAACGGCAATCCTACGTAATCTCTCCTTCGTTCTCGTGATATCCTCGTATTCCGATTTCACCCATTTTCCTCGAGGTACCGTAATATCTCGCATAAAATCGCGTTGCTCGAGAAACGAATAGACGTGCAACGCACTGAAAATTCCGAAGCTCGTTCCGTTGCGAAATTACAGTCGTGGCGGGCGGTTAATTATCTCCCGACGATAATTATCGTTCAACGTTCTCGTTTCACAAATGTAATTTATAAAGTCGTGTATAATTAGTCGAGATTATTAGTCTCCCGAATGGTAATTGTTGCGATTAACGTTGCATTAGGCGCGGTGCGTGCGTTGTACGACGGTAATGATCGTAATTAGAATCTTGCTCGTTTAACAAGTCCGACGGCGACGTTAATGAAAAATCCGTGGCCCAAAAAAATACTATACACACTTCTTATCTGTTTCTCTCTCTTTCTCTAACTACACGCGAATTCTCTCTCTCTCTCTCTCTCTCTCTCTCTCTCTCTCTCTCTCTCTCTCTCTCTCTCTCTCTCTTTCTCGCTATACATCTTCTAAGTTTCTAAAGCATCTCGTCCCACGCACACACATACGCAAGCTTCCAAGGACTTCGTTAATCGTAAATGAAACGGGTGCACCTGGTGTGTACGCATCTTGACATGACTGTGACGGTAGTAAAATTATGTTCTACGATCGCGCGACGAGTTGTTCTCGATGCTCGAAATAGTCTTTTCTTCCTGTGGCCGTACAGCTGACTTAGTGAACATTCAGTTGGACGATTTACTTTCGGTTTGATGGTTGTCGATTCAATGGAAGCTCCCGGAGGAGAGTGAGATGAGCAAATGTTTCTTTCGTCAATCCTCGTTTGAAACTGCAATGCGACCAACGATTGAAACTGCTAGACAATTAATATCTTTGTTTCGTACTGAGACGAGAAAACAATTGAGCAATCACCTCGAAATGAATCTTTGTGGAAGTTTCGGCTGAGAAATAATTTGTGGAAGTCTAATGTGGCGTTGACGTTCGATGCTTACATGATCGTATACTCTTTGCAATTGATGCAATTGTGACGTTGAATCGATAGAATTATAATAAGATTAATAACGATTAAGTGACGAGAACAACTCGCCGCACCGACGAGAACTCGCATCTCACGTAAAAAACGGATGCTCTTCTCACCGATAGAAAAACTGATATTTGGCAATGGTGGGGGAGCGTCGAGGGTCGTCCACAGGTTTCTGACTATTTTATACACACGCGAAATAATATATTGTTCGTGATTCTGTCGTCTTCTTTTCGGCGCGAGGTACAAAAGAACAGTATCTTGAAAAGACAAGTATAGGCAGGTACTGTATTATGTTTCGCATTTAAGTGACCGACGTCCGAGATACATTTCGATCCGGATGAGTGCAGAGAATTTCATGTTGCAAAGATTATTTCCTTAATAACAACGAATCGTTGAATATATAAAACGCATCGAGGAACGTGTTACTCAACGAAAGTGTAAAATATTCGTTAAGGTCGCTTTTCTGTGAAAAATATTCTTAAGAATTCGATCGAACATCTTTTGATCCTCGAAAGAAAGGGAGAAGATACATTTTAATCTTCGTTGCACTGATCCGAGCCACATCGTGCACAGACAATCGAGTCGCATGTAATTCGTCGAGAATTTCACTTGTGTGTGTTTCCCTCTATCTAACGTCTCGTTCGCTCGATGTCGCGACGAGCGCGAATCGCGGGATCTCTTGGGAACGAAGTGTGCGCTCACTTCGAACGCGTTCGTTCGGGAGACCGCCTCCTCGAAGCAGCGATTTTAAAAGCATCTTGAAAGTATCAATTGCATCGTTAGTCGTTTCCTCTATTGTTCAACCCTTTCAAGATAGATTACCTTAATGGTACGATCCGTTTAACACTGAAACTACCGAACGAGTCAAACTGACCCACTGATTTCTCCTTTTTACGATTATTAATAACATAATAGATTCTTCATTAAGAAGTTATTAAAGAAATTGATTTGGCAATACGCAAACTGAATTGTAAATCAATTGAAGTTTCAATAGATGCACTCTTGTAGTTTCTATAGAGGAATTTCAGAAAGTCAATTTCGGTGCTTGGTAGTTCTAGTGTTAAAAGTATGACAGATACACTGTTCACGTATAGAATCATACATTCCAAGGTGTCTTATCGTTAGTATCGATGAAAAGAAGATAGTTTCGAAAAATCTGGACAATAGGTACAGCAGTAAAACAGTGACTCGGTTAACCGAGGTCCTACTGCAATTATATTCGAGTGCTAGTGTTCCAGTTTCTTAACCCTGCTACGATCTACCTTCGAGTCCGAAAATCACATAGGAAAATCATTATTGAACTACGTATCCATTCGCAATAAACAAAATTTGTTCACGTTGAATCATTAAAATTTCGATGATTCATTTGAATCATTGAAATAACTGAAATTCTTAACAATCTAATGTATTATCAATGACTAAAATAAATTCAATTTTAATAATTCAACCATTAATCTTTAACACGCTGAATGCTATGGGTCACGTGCGACCCCATATCGAATTACTATAGTTGATTCAACGAAACGATGATTATTTCGAGACAATTCTAAACTACAATCCAATTCAATCAAATGATTTAATATTTCTTCCCTTCTCTATGTTTCGCTCCGCGAAATCGCGTGGCATTCAACGTGTTAATCATTCAAAACAGATCGCACGCACCTATTCATTAACCGCTTGGATGCTAAACAACTTTTGTGGATAATTTACCAAAAATGCGGAACAGATTGGGTGTGTATACAAAAAAAATGAATACAAGTATTTATCTAACGAGATCACAAATATTGTGTTATTACAAAAAAATAGCATTCATTCAAATAAATTTACTTCGATTTATCTCTCGAAAAACATAGTAAGAAAATTATAATTGATACTGATAAACAGCGCTCTCCGCAATTTTGGCACAACACAAGAGCGCTACGGCGCTCCTCAGCACTCAAACGGTTGACCCTTTGCACTCGAAAGTTTTTCACTAGAAATGTTCAATATTCTCCGAGATACGGACGATATCCTTTGAAACTAATTAACGAGGAAGCACATATAAATTAAGAAGGAAAGTTATTTTATTTCAATATTCCATATATCGATGCATCGTACAAAGCTTAATATTATGTATAAGACTTTACAATTTTGCAAATCAATTCAAGCGGTGACCGAGAGTCACCTCTCGAGTGCAAAGGGTTAAATTCACGAATCGCTGGTCGCGGCTGGGTCGAAAGTGAAAGCGTGAAATCTCTTGAAAGGGTCAGCGAAGCGTCGACGAGATCGATTCGGTGTGAGAAAAACGAGACTGTCCGCTCGGTGTGATCGTTTCGGTGATGCCGGAAGTCGGAATTATTCACGGCCGTCTCGTAAACACGAGCGTGGTTCGCAAACAAGCACGCCGCAGTGTCGCTAAACGCGAGTCGATTGAGTATACGCGTACTCGACGCTCGATCTATAATACTTTCATGTGTTTCGAGTTTCGATTTCCCCGGACCGCGTTCCGCCGGAAATCAGTAGTTTACAATCGTTAATTACAGAGATCTACCTACGTGCTTCGGCCGCGCAGCGAAATCATAGGGGCCGGCCGATCGATCGATCTTGAGTTTCTACCTCGAGGAATGCGATCCTATTATATCGATCCGTCGGGTATACACTTTCTAGATTCCTCTGGTCGTTCCAGTGATACCTGACGCTGGATAGAATTGTGCGTTACTAGAGCAACTTCTTTTAATTAAAATATATCTCCGAGCATGTCTCGTTTCAATGCAATCGTGACACGAGCGATTCGAAACAAGAATGGCCCAACTATTTTCCGAGCTCTCGAGGTAGACGGAAAGAATATTTCGTGAATCTACTTGGATTCGTTGAAAATTAGTGTTGTTGATAATATCGATTATCGGTGATCGTTAATGTTGGTTAGAGTATTTAGTCTAAGAGTATTTCGTAAAAATTCCTTTGAGAACTCGGAAATAGTTAGATCATTTACTATTCGAAGTTACTCGTTTGTTTGGTAATCACGAATAAATCGTTAAGATCTGCTTGAAGCACAGTTCGTCCATTTTTCGCGATAATGAACTGTTCGGGCAGTCTATGAATTGCTAACAATATTTGTGTCTTGATGCGTTAGAATAGAATGTTAATGATTAATGTATACGTATAATTCGAAAAATCGTAGAGGTGGAATATGTATTTTGCAATGGAGACAATTCTGCGCTAAATTATCGAGATATCCGTGGGAAATTATGAACGTTAGCCTCGTGAACTATTTAGAATTATTTGATTTCAATATGTTTCTTCAGAATATAGTTATTCGGAGCTTATCGTAACATTATGTATCGGTAATATCATTTTTGAGCTTATCGTTATTCGACGCAACGTAGACAGACAGAATCTACCTTAAAAATATCCAAAAGGGAACGTCTCTTCCAGATGAATCATTACAGTCGCAGCAGAAGTGATTTAATAGGCCATTTCGTCGTTGTCAAAGAATCCATGTCGAAACGCATTCCAAATACACATCGACTGCAAATGGGAAAGGAATATTTTCTACTCGTTTGGAACTTAATTCACGAAGGATGTCGCGCGTTACAGCAGTGTCGATACATCGTTGGCCATCTTCGAGTCAGAAGAGCCATCGAGCGAAACTGTTCCATTCCTCGACGTAGAAAGTTCAATGGGAATCGATCCCTCGAGTCAGAAAACAGTGATCTACAAGAGTAGGGAAATTTCGAGACGAATATGCCGATTATTTATACAGTTTTACATCTCTAACATTTATGCTAGTCTTCCACGTCCCTGGTTCAGATGAACGACTGCAATCATAATTCCTCGCCATTCCAATAAACGAACCATTGAACGAATCTCGTTAAAACAGTTCCAAGAATCGACGAATCTCGGATGAAAAAACAAATCTGTCGAGTTCACTCGTCAGTCGGAATATCTTGCTAATCAGTCGAAATGAAAAAAGGACAATCAAGCTCTCAAACAGTTGATTCGTTTCATCGGTTATCGCGATTTCCCAGGGAAACTATATCGTCCACGAAGAACGTGGTTCAGTTGACAATCGACGGCTAACACCGTCGAGAAGTTTGGTCAGATGCTCACTATGTCGATGGGGCAACGAATATTTTGTACAATCTCAACCGTTCGAACAGGTCTGGTCTGTGATCTATGGAAATCGGTTCCCAGTCTGCCAATCCGTTCTTCCTCGATCATTCTGTAAACGTGCATCGTATGATGATTACAATTGACAAGTTGAAATCGTCGGCCTCCGCGTCCGCGTTTGCTGTCCCGACGCGTACAATGGATTATTGAAAATATAAGTTAACGAGCTGTCGTTAACGGTAAACCTTCGCGAACACCGTCGCGCGTTGTTTATCCGTTATCGGAGTGCTCCTGGCTGTTACGGCTGAAAACGGAGACTCGCGTTCGCTCGCGTTGATCTCGACGCTCGTGCGATCCTCATTCACGCGAATTTCTTCGTGCATTTTTGCTCTGGGTCTACTTCGACGTACGCGATTCCGTTCCTCGGTAACCGTTCGATTTTACAAATTTCCCGTTCGCATGTCTCAAAAATAGTATTCTCGTAACCCTTAAGCACTTAGGAGTCCTTGTCCAAGTTCCATTGATTCACTCGTCAATCGACAAAGAAGATAAATACATTAATATTCGATATCATCGAGATCCTAGATCAACGGAATAAACGTAACATCTTACGAACGAATCGTTTGAAAATAATGAATCCGATGATAATAATCTTCCGCGGTATACGAGTAATTATTAAACATTGACTTGTCGATCTTCCACGAACGATCATCGAACGTCTATATTAAGGATCAAGTTCTTGTCAAGAAAGGCATTCGAACAAAATGCATCGCTATATCGTTCGTTTTCAAAAAATCTATTCAAAAATATATCTCGAACATTTCTCAGACGAATCAAGGATTATGAATCGTTCTTCAAGTTCGTGAACGAGTCCCCGAAGAAAAACTCACGAAGGTCATCTCTATCAATGTTCTCCGTACAATCAGTCGACCTTAGATGATGATCGTTAAGGAAAATCCAGCTAGCCGTAACGTTCCCACTCGAAAGAGTCAGGACTATGGTAGAAAGGTCCTGGCGTTCGTCTTGTGCTTTCTCTCTGGTCCGTTAGGAAACAGTCGGCCCGGTTTGTGCGCGATCACGTGAACGTCTCGTCCCTTGCGGAAGCACCCGGCACGCCACGGAAATCATCCCCTAAATGCCGTGTCAAGCCTCGCTTCTGGCGTTTTAGAAGAGGACGCAGCCGGAGCTCTGCATCACCCCGGAGATGAACATCGGCGTCCCGGCGCTGAGGCCACCGTCAGTCTTCTGGTGCTCGTTCTTGTCGTACTCGCAGTCGAAGTAACGACTCTGGACAGTTTGAGTTGTGGTGAAACGATTTTATGAGAGATTTCTGGTGAAATGATCTTATGAAAGATTTCTGGTAGAATGGTTTTATGAAATGCTTGTGGTTGAATGGTTTTACGAAAGATTTCTGGTAAAATGATTGTATGAAAGGCTTGTGGTAAAATGATCTTATGAAAGATGTGTGGTAAAATGGTTTTATGAAAGATTTGTGGTGAAATGGTTTTATGAAAGATTTCTGGTAAAATGATTGCATGAAAGATTGCTGGTACAATGATTTTATGAAAGATTTGTGGTACGTGGAATTGGGAATGATGGAATTGACTATTTTAAAGTAGGAAGTTGCAAGTAGTGAACCTAAGTTATGGCTTCGTGACTATTAGTGATAACTGTTGATTACTAAGTGACTACTAGTGATCACCATTGGTCGCTAAATGATTACTATTGATTATTTTTTATTACTAAACGCCTACTAGCGATCACCATTGATTAATAAATAACAACTAGTGACTAGATCACTAAGTGACTACTAAGTGATTACTGACTGACCACTACAGTCTATAATAGACTATATACTATCTTTGATAAATTTTCCTATGATAACTATTAATTTAACTATAATATCTTTGTAAGTTTGAATAGATCAAATATAAGTGTCAGGTTTCGGTAATCACTAGAAGCTTAGTAGTTAATTTGAAGATGGGTAATTTAAACTTCGTTAATTATCACTGGATCTAGGGAACCCGTCAATTTGACGGATATTGAATACTTTCAACAATATTTAGTAGCCGTTTAAGTCGATTTTCATTCGTGCAATCTATATAAATAAACATGTCGTGTTTTAGAACCAATGGAATAAACTGCAGAATGAACGTCCGTAAATCCAGTTCCAAGGGACAGATTGTTATTAGAAACGTCGACGGAAAATGTACCTGGCAATCCAAGCATCTGCAATGGTCGCTCATCTTGCAAGTGATTCCCCACTGCTTCGCCACCGCCCTGTAGAATTCCTTGCTCGACTTGTGCAGGATCTTTGGCCCCTTCGTCTTGCCGTCCTCCTCCGTCGCCTCGTTCCCATTGTTTTTGTCGGTCTCGTGCTTCTGCGCCTCGGCCGCGTGCTCCAATCGCGTCTAAAATTGTAATGGAACGTGACATGAGTTCCCAACAGTTCTTATCTCGACGCCACACCGAGTTATTCTGATCGCTGATTCACTGCGCTATAGTTTGATCGATGCTCGCTAGTCACCGAACGGTGTTTCAGATACTTTCTACCGTTGATCGCTTTATTAGTCATCAAAGTACCATACTATTCATCGAAATTACAATACATCACCTTTCAATTCTCGCATTAAGCTTCTTTTCATAGAAAATGATAATTTCTCGAAATTTAAAATATACGTAGAATTTCATTAACCCTTTGACGAAGATTCTTCGAAATATACGAAACCTTCGGTAGATGACGTTAAATTATATATCGATTGCTTAAATAATCTGACGTAAAATACCTGGTGAACTCATTATTCTAAATTTTCACTTAGACCAGTTCCATAATTATGAGAACATAATTAGATATTACGTAGATACGTAACTCGTAAATTTACGAAATAGTGAGAAAGTGCTTTCAAACGAAATAAATAATTAAGTCACACATGGAATTATTTAAAAAAAATTTAATTTCTCATACATGGAGAAATTTTCGCAATGCATATAATTCACCGCTACTCAAAGATTTCTGGACGCCAAAACGCGCATCTTCTTGTAATGAACTGGTTCAAAGTGGCTTTCGTCATTTGAAAAACAACAACAAAAAGAAATAGCATAGAAAAGCACCGCACAATTCTAAATGACTAAAAAACAATCGTAACACACAAGACAACCGATGTGAAATAAGAATGTTTAATAAAGCAACTAAGTTGACAATAGTGTAACGCAAACGTAGCAACGCCAAACAATTCATAATTATTCCTATCTTTGCTACAAAAGGCAAACTCTATGGGAAAACGCTTAAGATTTTCGTGGCGCTTAACGTGTTAACACTAAAACTACCAGAGGGGTCAAACGACCCATACCCGATGTCTTCTCTTTGCAATTATTATAAAGGAAACAAACGTTTCTCCGAGAAATTATTAAAGAAATTCATTTAGCACAATTGAATTGTAAATCAATTAAAGTCTGAACAGACGCACTCTTGGAGTTTCTGTAGCGAAATGTTCAAAAGTCAATCGAAGTGCTCGGTAGTTTTAGTGTTAATGAAGCGAGCGAGCTAGCTAGCTCGCTTCCCGTGTTATTGTAGCTCGAGCGGGAGAGGATAATTCTTTATTCCCCGACGATAACCCAGATCCTCACCTGTTCGATAACGTGCTCGTACGACGGGGGCGGGAAACTCGGAATGGCCGGTTCATTCCTCACCATCAGGCTGTTCGAATCAAACGCCGGCGACTTTAAATTGGATTCCAGCTCGGTGGCCAATTGCAATTGGTTCACGGATAGTTGAACGTTCGCCCCCTTCGCGTTGTCCTCCGGGTCGTATCTCTCGTGCCTGTTCCTCTCTTTGTTGATGTCTTTCGCCGCCTCTTTTTCGCTGTCCGCGTCGTTCTCCTCGGCCTCCTTCTCCGTCTCGCTGTCCACCTCCTTCTCCTTCTCCTTCTCGCGGTCCTTCTCGTCGCTGCTGCGCGACTTGGACATTTTCGAGAACGGGAACTTGAACGGCGCCAGTTTGATTAGCTTCGGCTCTCTCGGCTCGTCTGAAACGGACAGCACTCGTGGAGACAAAGGATTTTTGTGTCGACCGGTCGACGGGACGTTTTGATTTTATGCACTTCGCGCTGGCGCTCTGAGTTCCCTTTGCGCTCGGAATCGTTCGGTTCGCTGGAAGTTTCAGAGGAAGACGAGATTAGAGGAAGACGGTGGATTAGACGGATAGCGCGCGATTAACCCTTTGCACTCGGGAAGTTTTTCACTGGAGACACTCGGTGCTCTGTAATGAGATGCAGACGACATTTCCGGAAATCGACTTTGCGAGAAATCGAGTATGCGTTGAGGAGGAATAGCATTTTCTTTGATTGCATCACGTTTCGATGCGTTATACGAAATTTTATGTTCAACATCGAACTTCACGATTTTCCTGGGTTCGGTTAGTTAACCCTTAGCACTCCAGATTGTTTTGTAATCTATAAGCAACTGTATCTTTTATAGTACTCCTAGTGAAAATTAGAAATGCTATAACATTTCCTCCATTTTTTATTTTCGTTCGTAGTACAAAATTCAGATGTGCGGAAAATCTGATAATTTTAAGTTTCTTTAAGATTCATTAAAATATTTAATATTACAACTGGTGTAATATTGGAGCCTACAGAGTTCAAAGGGTTAAAACTATCCACACCACAACACAAGCACCATAAAAGATAAAACTCTTCAATACACTAATTCTACCTGCCATTTTCTAATTACAAAATATATCGTTAAGATACCCCAAGGAATCGAAACCTCTCGGAAAATGATCTCAACCCTCAGAACTCCCAGCGAAGGAGAAAATCGACTGAGAGGCGTCTGGAGTGCAAAGGGTCAAACAATACAACGCGAAACGCGAAATACTATGAGAATTAAGATATGTAAAGAAACTTTCGGGATAACTCAGTATCTTGTGCATGGATTCGAAATTGAATAGTGTATTCTAGTATTGTAAATAATTTCATGGGATCATGGATGTTGTCAACTGATCATTGAATTGTATTCAATCTGAGCACTCGTTTCGTGGACCTAAACAGATACGATAATCATATCAACGAGAGATTATTGATATAAAGCGAATATTATCAGGAATCTGATTAAAATTCAAACTACGCAATGGACGAGGAACAAAGAAATAATAAACCCGTTCCGAAGGAAAAGAAAATAGAAGCAGTAGTTCCTTGCGGCTGAATGTAAACGCGTCCATCAATGTTTACTGGTTTATTAGGTTAACCTCAGCTACGAAGTCGTCCCTTGTACCACGTAATAATACATAATTCCTTGTTACAAAGTTCCTCGGCGGAAGAAGGGGCAAAAACGGGGAAAGGACGAAGCAGAGGGAAACTAACAAGGGATGAAAGGAGAAATTTATTTCCGCGGAGAGTGGCTGCGTCTATCAATGTTTACAGGTTCTTCCGGATTAATCAAGACTCCGCTTCCCATCGAGCAATAATTCGATATTCCCTCATCACGAAATTCCTCCGCGAAGAACAAAAGAAAAAGAAATCTCCCCTCACAATTCAACTCATCCATCTTGAAACTCTTGAACGCCAAAAAACCCGACCGAACAAGAACGTCGAAGAAAGAAGTTATAGAAAAATAATAAACCATGCGAGAAGCAGTCCCTTCCCGTGGCGTCTTCTGAATATTTAGAAAGCTCAGCTGGGACCTGGGGAATCGCATGAGAATCTCATGAAAACCGCGGAAAACACGATGCTCCCACGAACCGAGCGACCAAACGATCGTTTTCTGGGGAAAACTCGATAACTTGAGAAGTATGAGTGATACAAACAACTGGTTCAGATAAAAGTTGTAAGGTATAGAGCTAAACATATGGTGGTTGTATATTTCTTCACATTACGGAGATATCGAGAAGTTTCTCCAATGACAATGGACACTGCTTCGATTCCAACGATATATAAATAGGGTAGTAAATCGCGAATTCCGGAGAGGTCCAACAATAAACACTTCAGTTGCCAAAATTGATTTACATCTCTCCTTAAAACACAAGAAAAAAAAGACTGTAAAACGAAGGTATTTTAACACTAAAACTACCAGTCGCAAAGGGTTAACATTAAAACTAACTGCTGGAGCAATTTGAGTGACTTATTTCTGAGTTTTCATAGACATCAGAATATATCGTTCGAGACTCGACGGGACCCTTATCGCTGTACCTGTGCGAGCAGAAATTTAGTTAACGATTTACCGCGAAAGCCGTGTCATAATTCGAACGCTCGATCCGAGAATGACTGTCTCTCAAATGAAAACCATTTCGTATAGCAGCAGTCACTTAGCAACGCGTAGCTAACCTTCAATTCTCGTTACGCGAATAGTCAGATTCCAGGATTCCGTCCAGCGGCGGGCACGCGGCGCGGGGGGAAGGAAGAAGCTCGGAGTCCGAGGGAAAGCGAAGGGGGTCAAAGAAAGTAGTTCATTCCCACGAAAAGGTGTGTCCCCGGGTGCGGGTGCACCGGGCTTCGTCTGTCGTTGACCCAGTGGCCGAGTTTCGCGTTATCGGTCGACCTGGCGCAGCTGCGGCTGACTTTAAAGCCGCCGACTCCTCCAGGAGGAGTCTTAGCTGGCCGACAAACGCGATCCGGCCGCGATACGCTCGCCGATCTCTAACGGGAATTAGCATCGCCCGTAATTCCGTGGTTCGACGATCGATATCGTCGCGTCCTCGCGTATCGTCAAATCACGCAACGCGAGGTCCGTTCGAGCGAACTTTTATTCTATGTCGGTCGCATGTTACGATAATGCACAGGCGTGTATAGTTCTGGCAGAGTGACGATACAATACTGTTTCGATGTTTTTTTTTGGACAGGACTGACCTGTAGATTGAGTCTGGTGGTTTTTGAAAGATACCTAGAGCATAGTGCTCTCTACCCTTTTAATTTGATAACTGGTTCACCAACAGGGAGGTTATGTTTAGCAGAGCTGCTTCGATATTCGGAATATAAAAGTTTCAAAAAACTTATAAAAATCGCCTGCAAGTTAACCCTTTGCGGACGAACGTCAGCGTTTCGGAGAGACGAAGTGTTCATACTTGGAAGACTGAGTCGCAGGGAAATGATTGAATTACTCTGACAGCAAGAGATCAGCTCGTGCATCTCTTCCTATTAATTAGGTAATTGATATTTAATTTAACTTCATTTGTTGGAGACTTTATATTTCAAAGTATCTTCGCCTGCAAGTTAATTGCAACATTAGCGCGGCTCACCGGCTCCTTAAAAGTCACTAATACTAATAAAATACTGTTTTGCTGTTGCTTAAAACCTTTTTATAAGGTTTTCATGGAGACATCGAGGGTAAGTAGGAGAGCAGGAGGGGCAGTGCGGGAAGTTCAGGGAAATCCAGATGCATAAACATGTCATTATCCAGGAAATGAGAATGAAGACATTTCTAAATTGATACGCCCCTGCATCATCCCTCTAAACGCTTCAAGTCCCCTGTCCGCCCCCAAAAAGGACGCCATAAGAAATCTACGCGAGAGACTGCGACCAGGCCCTGTGTTTTGGATACAGCAAATGGGTTTTCCCCGAGAAATAACGGAATCGGCCGCCGAGAGGAACCGATCCCTCAAAATCGACTGCATTCTGGTTGCAGTCCTCGCACGGAGCACTCCGCGATTCCACATTTACGATTCTACAGTCGAATTCTATTACGATTCTACAGTCCTCGCAGCGAGGATATATCACAGCGAAAATATAACGCAACAGGAAAGGCCTTTCACAAGGGACGATCGGATCGGTGAAAAACGAAAATGAAAATAAATATTCGTGTTACATAAGGAATGAGAAAATTCGCTTTACAGGGAAAAGTAAGTGTAGAAAAATAGGATACACGAAGTACCAGCTAATAGCGAACCGTGGTTTGGGGAAAAAGGTTTGGGACTAAGGGTTGATTGGGGACTGAGTGGATGACGAAGGGGAAATAGGTCGACACACGGAGGGCACACCGGAAACACCTCCTTCCGAGCCTCCGTGTCTTAACCCTTTCGCGACGGGTGCCGCATATATACGGCGGCCACTTTTTGGTCCACAGAGGCTGACGCCGCTTATATACGGCAGTCATTTATTACTTCACAGCGGCTGATGCCGTCGATACGTCAGCCACTTATTGGTTTTTTTATATTATTATTTTATTTCAACAACGAACTCGAAATGAAGCTATAAATACATTGGCGGCGAAGTATGGTTCGCTTGCGCTTTCGCGAAAAGTGGCAAAGTATGGTCAGTCGCACTGTCGCGAGAAGTGGCGAAGAATGGTACAGGTGCGCCGTCGCGAAAGGGTTAATTGTTTTCGATACATCGCTTGTTTCCGCCGGTCGAACCTCTGACTCGGAGTTCCCGTGCACCGGACGCCGACGCGGAATGTAAAATCGCGGGCTGGCGGCCGGAGAGGGAGGCGTTTGAACTACATTTTCGGTCGTCCGAGCGATTATTGGGAAACTGGGACGGCCGCGGACACCATATTTAAAGCGATATCCCCATTCCCGGATGAAAAATTGATTCATTTCTGGCCGCGATTCCGAGCGGGGCCGGCGTACGGGTGAGTTCAATTGAATACAGGTCTTAGTTGACGAATATAATCTCCTTCGAAATACTGTTTAACAGTAGATTCGTTCTAAGTGTTGAAACTATTTCCTAAATCACTGTCTATTTAATCCAACGAAATCAGTGGAATATTAGAAGCTTCGGTGGAAAACTTGGATGAAGGCTGAGTCCTTTCGGGTAGTTTGTTGGGAGGGTGATTTTTTGGTAAGTACTGATTTCTGATTGCGTTCTAGCGATGAATACTTGAAATGGAAAAAATATAATATTAAATCATTTGATTGAATTGCATTGTTATTCTCGCAGGTTCATCTAGTTGAAGTCACCACAATGGTTAGCATTATTTATAATATAGAAATGTTTTCAAATCATGGTCTAATTGAGTGAACTATAGTAATTCGGATTGGTTGGGGGCGACCCCCATGGCATTCAACGTGTTAAGAGATAGTTTCGAAGACTTC